TAGATAGATAGATAGATAGATAGATAGATAGATAGATAGATAGATAGATAGATATCATTGTCTATTTTGAATACTTCTGAAGGCAAGCTCTTCCATTGATTCCCACCTCGTTCAGCACCCAGGCTAGCTCTTCCAAGCAACAATCTGTACACATCCTTCCGTAAAAGAGTCCCATTGCCTACAGCGGGATACAGTTCTAAATAAAATTTCCGTGGGGTTGAGCTTTGCATCTCCCCACAAAGAACAGGCGGGTAATCTTTCCAATGGTCCCACAAGGTCAAACACAACACAGAAAAGAAGCAAACTCAGAGAGACCCAAGGACCCCTCAATAACTATTTTTTTTCCCCCAAACATACAAGCCTACCTGTAGTGAGCCTCCATCAGAGCTCAAGATGTCTAGAGGCAGTCCTCCACTTACAACTGTAAATTGAGCCCGGCATTACGGTCGTTAAGTCATTGAGGGGGTGATGTGACTGACCGATTTCCCGACTTTTTTTTTTGTTTTGCAACAATCACAAAGTGAATGCCACGGGAGTGGTGCGGTGGCCTACAGGTAGAGGCTTTCACCTCACAATCAGGAGGCCGTGAGTTCAATCCTAGGTAGAGGCAGATATTTCTCTCTCTCTGGGCACGTTGAGAATATCTGCTGTACAAAACTCCGTACTGGTGACAGGGAAGGGCATCCGGCCAGTAAAACACTCGGCTCCATTCAGTTGCCCAGACTCCACCCCACAAGGCATTATGGGGTTGTTAAATGAAGATGATGATGATGATAAAGTGAACGCCACGGTTGTAAAGTAAATGGCACAGTTGTTAAGCGTTGAACCCATGGTTCACGATAGACATTTTTGAAGAAAATGCTGGTTTCTGGTTTCAAGAATGTGACATTACAGATGACTGTAAATGCAGGCCAAACTGTGATCACATGACCTTAGGGAAGGTCTGGCCATTGGAAATTTGAATTTGGGACATAAGTAGTTTTTTTGGGGGGGGCTCTGTCATAACTTTGAACAGTGACTAATGACGTCATTAATTGAGGACTACCTTCCATGCTGGGTTTGGAATTCAGTCTGTTTTTCTTCCTTCCTTCCTTCCTTCCTTCCTTCCTTCCTTTCCTTCCTTTCCTTCCTTCCTTCCTTCCTTCCTTCCTTCCTTCCTTTCTTTCTTTCTTTCTTTCTTTCTTTCTTTCTCCCTCTCTCCTCTTCCTTCCTACCATCTTTCCTTCATCTCCCTCTCTCTCTCTCTCTCCCGCCCCCCTTTCAATTTCTTTTTTTTAAAATTTGATTTAGGGCGGCATGCCCTTCTCCGGAGACTCAGGGCGGCTTACAACGCGTTAAGCAATAGCCTTCATCCTTTTGTATATTTATACAAAGTCAGTTTATTGCCCCCACAATCCGGATCCTCATTTTACCTACCTTAGAAAGGATGGAAGGCTGAGTCAACCTTGAGCCTGGAGAGATTCGAACCTGCAGTAACTGCAGGCAGCTGGTCTTAATAACAGGGTGCCTTAGACCACTGTACTACCAAGGCTCCTTAAGCAATAGCCTTCATACTTTTGTATATTTATACAAAGTCAGCTTATTGCCCCCACAAACTGGGTCCTCATTTCACCTACCTTAGAAAGGATGGAAGGCTGAGTCAACCTTGAGCCTGGTGAGATTCGAACCTGCAGTAATTGCAGACAGCTGGTGTTAATCACAATGCTTTTAGTCTGCTGAGCTACCAGGCCCGTTAAATTCTCTCTCTCCCTCTGCCTCCTACCCCACCCCATGGTCAGTTGGCCGTGGTGAGCTGGCCATGGCTAATTGGCCACGGTGAGGTGGCCACAGCAAGTTGGCGGTGAGGAGTTGGCCATAGCGAGTTGTACATGAAGAGTTGGCCATGAAGAGTTGGCCATGGTGAGTTGGCCATGGAGAGTTGACCGCAGCAAGTTGGTGGTAATGAGTTGTCCCACGATGAGTTGGCCATGGAGAGTTGGCCATGGAGAGTTGGCTGCAGCAAGTTGGTGGTAATGAGTTGTCCCACAATGAGTTGGCCATGGAGAGTTGGCTATGGAGAGTTGACCGCAGCAAGTTGGTGGTAATGAGTTGTCCCACAATGAGTTAGCTATGGCGAGTTGGCTGTGGCGAGTTGTCCTACGTTGGGTTGGCCATCACGAGTTGTCCCATGGCGAGTTGACTGTGGCAAGTTGACCGCAGCAAATTGGTGGTGATGAGTTGTCCCACTGTCAGTTTCTTTTAGCTTCCTGACTGCTACATATTTTAGCCTGGGAAATTGAGAGGGGGGGGTTGTTTTCGTTGGAGCGATGGAAGAATAGCCATAACAACATCCTTTGTTCTGGGAGTCGAGGACATTTGCCTGCACCTGGATGGGAGTGACTGGGGGATTGTTTCCCAGTGGAGCCTGAAGGGTGGATTGGGCCATGTGATGCAATTGTGGGTGTGGGGCAGGGTTGTGAACTTTCAACTGGGTGGGGAAAACCTGGAAGCTTTCAGATTCGGGTTTTCCCACGTGGGCCAACATGACGTCTCTAATCAAGTGGAACTTTGAGGAACTTCAAGAGTTTTCTTTCGTTGGGGGGTGACACCCACGATGAGTTGGCCGTGGAGAGTTGGCCGCGGCGAGTTGCCGTTGAGCCCAGGCCCTCAGCCTCCAGGTGGCTTCTCTCCTCCAGGCAGGCGCTAACTCTTTGTCGTCGTCGTCTTCTTCCCTCCCCTCGGCCGATCGCAGGTTACAAGGCAGATCCATGAGCATGAGCAGGAGAACGAGTTGCGGGAACAGATGTCAGGATATAAACGGATGCGGCGCCAGCACCAGAAGCAGCTGATCGCCCTGGAGAACAAGCTGAAGGCTGAAATGGACGAACACCGCCTCAAGCTGCAGAAAGAGGTGGAGACCCATGCCAACAACTCGTCCATTGAACTGGAGAAGCTAGCCAAGAAACAGGTGGCCGTCATAGAGAAGGAGGTGAGGAGCCAGGTTCTCTCCTGCGGGATGGGTCACCTTAGCGGCTGACGGATTCAGAGGCAGGGGTGCTATTCAGCAGGTTCTGACAGGTTCTGGAGAACTGGTAGCGGAAATTTTGAGCAGTTCGGAGAACCGGCAAATGCCACCTCTGGCTGGCTCCGGAGTGAGGTGGGAATGGAGGTTTTGCAATATCCTTCCCCCAGGAATGGGGAAGGAATGGGGATTTTGCAGTATCCTTCCCCCAGGAGTGGGGAGGGAATGGGGATTTTGCAGTATCCTTCCCCCAGGAGTGGCGTGGGAATGGCGATTTTGCAATATCCTTCCCCCAGGAGTGGAGTGGGAATTGGAGATTTTGCAATATCCTTCCTCCAGGAGTGGGAGGGAATGGGATTTTGCAGTATCCTTCCCCTGGAGTTGTGGGGAATGGGATTTTGCAATATCCTTCCCCCAGGAGTGGGGTGGGAATGGGGATTTTGCAGTATCCTTCCCCCTGGAGTGGGGTCAGAATGGAGATTTTGCAATGTCCTTCCCCCAGGAGTGGGGAGGGAATGGGGATTTTGCAGTATCCTTCCCCTGGAGTGGGGTCAGAATGAGATTTTGCAATGTCCTTCCCCCAGGAGTGGGGAGGGAGTGGGGATTTTGCAGAATCCTTCCCCCTGGCACGCCCACCAAGCCACACCCACCAAGCCACACCACGCCCACCAAGCCACGCCCACAGATCCGGTAGTAAAAAAAAAATTGAATTTCACCACTGCCGCACACGTGTGTGGAAGGTGCGTGTAAAGCGAAGCAAGCGTTCGCACACTCTCTGTCTCACATATTTTAGTGCTGGGCGAACCGGTTGTTAAGTTATGTGAAGCCCACATCTGCCCCCAAGTCCCCTGGTCACGTTGTCCAATCCAGGAGCTGGCCGGTTGCTTGGTTACTTCGCTCCTCCTCTGGCCACCGCCTGAGAGAATGTCCTTGGTTCCCACAGGAGAGCTTTATTGTTTCGGCTACAAAACCCCATCTAACTATTTCCCCTCCCTCCCTCTGTTGTGTGGCAACCCTGAAGCTTCCCGAGATGAGCCTCAGCCAGGTTCATTTCAGGGTTGACAACGCTGTACACCAACCGGAGTTACTTTGCGTCATTTGGGCGCCCTATAAAACAGAAAGATGGACAGACAAGAGTCTGGGTGGCTTACAACCATAAAAACTGAACAATAAAACAGAAGGAAAAAAAAAGCTTGGAAAATTGCTAGCAGGTCATTCCTAGTCCTTCTTTTCTCTAGACTAGCTATACCCAAATTCCCGCAACCGTTCCTCCTACGTTTTAGCCTTCCTCCCCTAATTTAGCCTTCCGCTCCCCTAAGTAGGCGATCACCAACTGGTGGTCCGCGAGAAAATTTTGGTGGTCCGCAGAAAAATTATTTGCATTTTTTATCTTGCACTAAATCAGGGTCCTCAAACTACGGCCCCTGGGACGGATACATGCAATGAATGTTTGTGTTGCTGCAGAGAGTCTCCCCCTTTGGGGTCTTTTTGTGTGGGTCGGAGGGGGCAGAAATTCCACTTCAGCCTCCTGGTGGGGGCTTTGGGCGAAGACTGGAGGGAAGGGCCGCTGGTGGCGAAGAGCCGGAGGGCCTCGTTCCAGTGGGACTGCATCATGGATGGAAGTGGTTGATCATCTCAGCCAACTGAGCCTCCAGGTGCCGGTACAGTGGAGTGGGAATGGAGATTTTGCAGTATCCTTCCCCCAGGAGTGGAGTGGGAATGGGGATTTTGCAGTATCCTTCCCCCTGGAGTGGGGTCAGAATGGAGATTTTGCAATGTCCTTCCCCCAGGAGTGGGGAGGGAGTGGGGATTTTGCAGAATCCTTCCCCTGCCATGCCCACCAAGCCACGCCCACAGAACTGGTAGTAAAAAAAAAATTGAATTTCACCACTGCCGCTGAATTTTCATCACTGCGAGTGACATTGATTTGGCCACGCCCACCCAGTCACAAGACCACCTAACCACGCCCACCCAGCCGGTCATTATCATATCATATTAGTGGTCCACGGGATTTAAAATTATGAATTTAGTGGTCCCTAAGGTCCGAAAGCTTGGGGACCCCTGCCCTAAATGAAAGTCTTTCCGAAAACGTGGATCGATTTTAAATTTTAAAGAAGCCTTTCTTTTTTCTTTTTTTCTCTCCCCCCCTCTTCACAGGCAAAGACAGCGGCAGCAGATGAGAAGAAGTTCCAGCAACAGATTTTGGCTCAGCAAAAGAGGGATCTGACCAATTTCTTAGAAAGTCAGAAGAAGCAATACAAGATTTGCAAAGAAAAGATTAAAGAGGCAAGGAGACGCTCTCCAGATCTGGGGAAGGTGAAGGAGCAAAATGCATCTGAGGAGTCTCATCTCAGCCCATTAACTTACCTCCAGAATGACATACCCTCATGGGGAGGAAGAGGAGGAGGAGAGAGAAAGGGAAGGAGAAGAGGCAGAAGGAGGAGGGAAGAAAGGGAAGTGGAAAAGGAGAGGAGGGGGAAGAGGAGGAGGGGGGAAAGGGAAGAGAAGGAAGGGGAAGAGGAGGAGGGAAGAAAGGGAAGTAGAAAAGGAAGAGGGGAAGAGGAGGGGGAGGGGGAGGGAGAAAGGAAGTGGAAAAGAAGGAGGGAAAAAGGAAGAGGAAGAGGATGTTGGTGAGACAGAGAAGGAGATGGGGAGGGGGAGGAAGGGAGAAAGGGAAGTGGAAAAGGAGGGGAGGGGGAGAGGAAGAGGAGGAGGGCAGGAAGGGAAGTAGAATAAAAGAAGAGGGGAATGGGCAAAAAGGAAGTGGAAAAGGAGAAGAGGGGGAAGAGGAGGGGGAGGGGAGAAGGGGAAGAGAAAGGGATGCAAGGGAAGAGGAGGAGGAGAACTGTGGGTCTGGGCAGGAGGTGGGGTCTCATCTCATCCCATTAACTATCTCTACAATGACATGCCCCCGTGGGGAAGAAGAGGAGGAGGTGGGAGAAAGGGAAGGGGAAGGGGAAGAGGAAGAGGAGGAGGGGAGAAAGGGAAGAGGAGGAGGGGGAAGAGGAGGGAGAAAGGGGGGGAAGGGGAAGAGGAAGAGGAAGAGGAGGAGGGGAGAAAGGGAAGGGGAAGAGGGGGAGGGGGAAGAGGAAGGAGGAGGAGGGAGAAAGGGAAGGAGAAGGGGAAGAGGAAAAGGAGAAGGGGGAAGGGCAAAAGGAGGGGAGAAAGGGAAGTGGAAAAGGAGAGGAAGGGGGAGAGAAGGAGGGGAGAAAGGAAAGGAAGAGGAGGAAGGGAGAAAGGGAAGTGGGAAAGGAGAAGAGGGGGAAGAGGAAGGAGGGGGAAGGGGAGAAGAGGAAGAGGAGAGCTGTGGGGTCCTTGGTGCCCTCTGGGCTTGGCTGTTTCCTCGCAGACGTTTAATTACCTAACCAAGTAACGTCATCAGTGTTCGAAAGGAAGCCTGTTAGAGGGGGAAGATTAGGGGAGGACCCTGGCCGTGCCCATTTTCTTTCTGCTGTAGCCCTGTTGCCTTTTGCTCAACGCCCCCCCCGGTCTCCCGGCCTCTCTTTTAGGAGATGAACGAGGATCACAGCACACCCAAGAAGGAGAAGCAGGAAAGGATCTCCAAACACAAAGAAAACCTGCAGCACACACAGGCTGAAGAGGAGGCGCATCTTCTCAGCCAGCAGAGACTCTACTACGACAAAAACTGCCGTTTCTTCAAGCGGAAAACGATGATCCGAAGGCATGAGTTGGAGCAGCAGAATATTCGTGAGGTCTCTGCTTTTAGCCTTTGCCCTCCGCCCCCCCCCCCCAAAACTACGTTCGAGGGGGCGATACTGAGCAGATTTGGATAGATAGGGTCGGTGTGGCCCGTCCCCTCCCAAATCCTCTTTTGAAGGTTCTAGATCAGGGGGTCTCCAACCTTGGCCACTTTTAAGACTTGAGGACTTCAACTCCCAGAGTTCCTCAGCCAGAGGAATTGGCTGGCGGAGGAATTCGGATGGATGGATGGACGGATGGATGGATGGATGGATGGAAGGAAGGAGAGAGAGAGATAAAGAGAAAAAAAGGAAAAGAAAGAAGGAAGGAAGGAAGGAAGGAAGGAAGGAAAGAAAGAAAGAAAGAAAGAAAGAAAGAAAGAAAGAAAGAAAGAAAGAAAGAAAGAAAGAAAGAAAGAAAGAGTCGGTGTGCCCCCCAAATCGAGGGGTCTCCAACCATGGCTACTTGGGGACTTCAACTCCCAAATTCCTCAGCCACTATGAGGAGGAATTGGCTGGTGGAGGAATTCTGATGGATGGATGGATGGAGAGAGAGAGAAGGAAGGAAGGAAGGAAGGAAGGAAGGAAGGAAGGAAGGAGAGAGAAAGGAAGGAAGGAAGGAAGGAAGGAAGGAAGAAAGAAAGAAAGAAAGAAAGAAAGAAAGAAAGAAAGAAAGAAAGAAAGAAAGAAAGAAAGAAAGAAAGAAAGAAAGAAAGAAAGAAAGTCGGTGTGCCCCCCAAATCCAGGGGTCTCCAACCTTGGCCACTTTGAGATTTGGGGACTTCAACTCTCAGATTTCCTCAGACAGCATGAGGAGGAATTGGCTGGCTGGGGAATTCTGGGAGTTGAAGTCCACCAGTTTTAAAGAGGCCAAGTTTGTAGAACCCTGTTCTAGAACCTTCAAAAGAGGATTTGGGGGCCACACCAACCCTATGACTAGCTGAGGAATTCTGGGAGATGGATAGATGAATGATGGATGGGTGGATAGATAGATAGATAGATAGATAGATAGATAGATAGATAGATAGATAGATAGATAGATAGATAGATAGATAGATAGATAGATAGATGATAGATAGATAGATAATAGATAGATAGATAGATAGATAGATAGATAATAGATAGATAGATAGATAGATAGATAGATAGATAGATAGATAGATAGATAGATAGATACCGTGTTTCCCCGAAAATAAGACCCTGTCTTATATTTTTTTGAACCCCGAAATAAGCATATATAATGATAGAAAGAAAGAAAAGGAAAGTAAGAAAGAGAGAGAGAGAGATAGCAGGCAGACAGACAGGCAGACAGGGTGTGCCCTCCCAAATCCAGGGGTCTCCAACCTTGGCCACTTCCAGACTTCGGGACTTCAACTCCCAGAATTCCTCAACCAGCATGAGGAATTGGCTGGCTGAGGAATTCTGGGAATTCTGGGAGTTGAAGTCCACAACTCTTAAAAACTGCCATGTTTAGAGAGACCCCTGTTCTAGAGCTGGCCTCCTCATTTGTTGGCCCCGGATCTTCCCACGAATTAACTCAGGTGGGTTCAGCCAGGTAAATCCCCTTACAACCGTCCCTTCAGTGTCCGTTTAAAGTTTTGACGGCGCCGAAAAAAAGTGACTTCGGACCACTGTAGAATCCCCATGGCCACAGGATCAAACACTTAGGACACTTAGCAACCGGTTCATATTTATGACGGTTGCAGTATTTCCAGTCACGTGATCCTTTTGCGACCTTCTGATGAGCAAAGTCAGTGTGGGGAAGCCAGATTCACTTAACAAGTGTCGCCAGGAAGGTCGTAAAACGGGACAAAATTCACTCAAATCACTGTCACGGTGAGCAATTTTTCGGCTCAGCTATGGTCATACGTCAAGGACTATCTGTAACGTCTCATGAAACAGAATTCTTTTGGTCAGTCTTTGCTTCTAAATTCTGAATTGTTCTGCCGTGGGGAGGGGGGAAATTCATCAGAATTGCATACGTTTTCAGCAATCTCAGGGGATAGTAGCTGAGCTGAACCAATCACATTTTCTCTTAGCCATCGTAAGTCTTAAGGCTGTGATGGGGAACCTATGGCACACGTGCTGGAAGTGGCACGCAGAGCCATCTCTCCGGGCACGCCAGCCATCGCCTGTTGCTCTTCCGGGTTCCAGCGCCGGCCAGCTAGTCTTCACGTGCACAGGAGCGGCGGAAACCGGAAGGCCAGATTTCCGGCGCTCCCACGCACGCACATCGGGGAGCTGCTCTTCCGGTTTCTGGTGCTCCTCCGCGCACCAGAGTAGGGTTTGCAAGGAGGAGCAGGAAGAGCAGACTGTGGAGTCCTTGGCGCTGTCTGAGCATGTTGTTTTCTTGAAGACGTTTTATTGCCAAACTAGGCAACACCATCGGTAGACTGACGACGTAACCTAGTTTGGTAATGAAACGTCTTCAAGGAAACCACCAAGTTCAGAGAGCATCAAGGGCCACTCGCCTCCTGGTTCTCACGCACATTTGCTCGTGCGCCACCTGCTGGACAGTTTTGGGAAATACGCCATAAGAGCGTATTACCCAAAGGTTTTTTTGGCTTTGATGCTCAGATTCATGCCTGCAGGATGTTCGGTTTGTCTCAGCGAGACCGTGGCAGGAAACTCTGCAACCAGACAGAATGCAAATGAAGTTCTGGAATTCCTTTTGTGAGATGAAGCCAAGGTGTCTTCTTTTAGAAAGGTTTAGTTCAGGGGTCAGCAACCTGCAGCTCTGGAGCCGCATGTGGCTCTTTCATCTCTCTGCTGCGGCTCCCTGTTGCTGGTCGGCTCCACAATTGATAGGGTTTTTGGTTAGGACAGGTAGAGGAAAAAGGATGCCGCGCTATTATGGTGGGGGAACTGGACTTCTGGTCAACAGAGGAAAAAGGATGCCGCGCTAGGAGGAGACTCTATGGTGTGGGAACCGGACGTCCGGTCGGCTCCAAAATTGAATGGGGGCTTCCGGTTAGGACCTTTGTGGCTCTTTGAGTGTTTAAGGTTGCCGACCCCTGAACTAGACATACCCAGTTCCTGCACAAGAGATCTAAGTCCAGCCCTCCTTGAATGCTGTTGACTCTTATCTACCGCCAATTTGCTTTGACCTGTTAGTAGCTCAGATTCTTGTAGAGAACAAGAGCTTGCAACAAACCTTTATATTCATTTTAATCCTGGCCTGGACTTCCTGATTTTCTTGAGCTTGACCAAAATGGTTTGTTGCTGTTTTTTGCTTTGGGTGAAGGGCAGGAGGCTCTCTGGCTGTCTCCTTAGGAAGTGTCAACCTTGCAAGGTAGTCCAGACAGGAAACACACCGGGAGGTATTAGTTCTTTTCTTTATTGTAAGGTTACCTTAACAGAATTTTGTAAGTCTGAAAAGGCATTTTTCTACAGCCAATATACCAGGGAGGTGTCAAGTTTCGAGGTCGTCTCAAATAAATTGCATTTCAAACAAAGTCTTTGAAGAAAAACTCCTATTTATTAAGCACGGCATTCTAAAACATGATTCCATCAAAGCCAACACTGACTTCCAGCCCCAAAACCCTCCCTTTCCGTTCCCCACTCCCCTGCACTCATTGGCCATCTTCCAAGTCACTCTACCCCTAATCTACTGCTCCAGCTCAAAGGAATTTCCCCCCTCCCATCTCCTAGGGGATATTATCTCCAGGGAAAATAAGTAGGTGAAAAGTCAAACGTCCCTTTCCAGACGCCTCCGCTTCTCCTTCTTATGTCAGCACTAGAGTAAATGCAGCTTGAAGTGCTGACAGGAGGGTCTCTTCAGAGATGTTTGCCACACCCCATTTCTGCTCTGGGCTCAGCAGCCTCTTATCCCTACGTTCCCCTGGCTGTGGCTCTTCCTTCGGTCTCCCAAGGTCATCCTCACAGACCACGCCAGGAAGGCTTCTCCTCACCTCTGTTCCTTGCCTCCCCCCCACCACCCAAATGCAGGAGCTGAACAAGAAGAGAACCAGAAGGAGAATGGAACATGCCATGCTAATACGGCACGACGAGTCGACGCGGGAGTTAGAATACCGGCAGTTGCACTTGCTGCAGAAGCTGCGTATGGACTTGATCCGGCTGCAGCACCAGACGGAACTTGAAAACCAGCTGGAGTATAACAAGCGGCGGGAACGAGAGCTGCACAGGAAGCACGTCATGGAGTTGCGGCAACAGCCGAAGAATTTGAAGGTAGTCAAGGGGATGAGGGTGGGAGCCCCAGCCCAGGGAGGCTTAGGTGACACCCCCCCCCCCCCTAGAGCTTGAAGTTCGGAAACTGACAGTTGAGGTGGAAGGAGGCGTCAAGTGAGGATCTAGCTTGGAATCGTTGCGTAGCTGCAAGCAGGCAATTAGCTTGACTTCAGCAAAGATCCATGAAGTCTTATTTGGCCGTTCCCAGAGAGAAGGCAAACAGTCTGGGGGAAATTCTTCTAACACAGGCATAGAGAATAATTATTGTAACTATTCATAAGTAGGGACTGGAGAGCCACTTGTCTAAAATGGTGGAGGGTCTCGGGCTCGAGCAGGGGATTGGACTAGAAACCTGCAAGGTCCCTTCCACTTTGTTATTTTGCTATTCAGCTATTCCTTGCTTTCCTTCCTTTCCTTCCTTCCTTCCTTCCTTCCTTCCTCTTACTTACTTCCTCACTTCCTCACCTTCCTTACTTTCCTTCCTCCCTTCCTAACTTCCTCTCATTACTTCCTTCCTTCTTCTCCTTCCTCCCTTCTTCTCCTTCCTCTCCTTCCTTCCTCTCTCTCTTCCTCCTTCTTCTCCTTCCTCCTCCCTCCCTTCCTCGCTCTCTTCCTTCCTTTTCTCTTCCTCCCTCCCTCCTTCCTCCTCTCTTCCTTCCTCTCTCCTTCCTTCCTTCCTCCTTCTTCCTTCCTTCTTCTTATTTCCTCCCTTCCTAACTTCCTCTCATTCCTTCCTTCCTTCTTCTCCTTCTCCCTCCTCCCTCCCTTCTTCTCCTTCCTCCTCCCTCCCTTCCTCTCTCTCCTCCTTCCTTCTTCTCCTCCTCCCTCCTCCTCCCTCCTCCCTTCTTTCCTTCTCCCTCCCTCCCTTCCTCTCTCTCCTTCCTTCCTTCTTCTCCTTCTTCCTTCCTTCTTCCTCTTCCTTTCTTCCTTACTTCTTCTTCCTCCCTTCCCCTTCCTCTCATTCCTTCCTTCCTTCTTCTCTTCCTCCCTCCCTCCCTCCCTTCTTCCTTCCTCCCTCCCTCCCTTCCTCTCTCTCCTTCCTTCCTTCTTCTCCTTCCTCCTCCCTCCCTCCCTCCCTTCTTCTCCTTCCTCCCTTCTTCTCCTTCCTCCTCCCTCCCTTCCTCTCTCTCCTTCCTTCCTTCTTCTCCTTTCTTCCTTCCTTCCCTCCTTCCTTTCTTCCTTACTTCTTCCTTCCTCCCTTCCTACTTCCTCTCATTCCTTCCTTCCTTCTCCTCCTCCCTTCCCTCCCTTCTTCTCCTTCCTCCTCCTCCTCTCTCTCTCTCCTTCCTTCTTCCTTCCCTCCCTCCCTTCTTCTCCTTCCTCCCTTCTTCTCCTTCCCCTCCTTCCTTCCTCTCTCTCTTTCCTTCCTTTCTCCCTCCCTTCCTTCCTTCTTCTCCTTCCTTCCGTCCTTCCTCCCTTCCATCTTCTCCCTTCTTCTCCTTCCTTCCTTCCTCCCTCTCCTTCCTTCCTTCCTTTCCTTCCTTCCTTCCTTCTTCTTATCACTAGAGGTTTTTTTTAGAAGAGATTGGACAGCCACTTGGCTAAAATGGCAGAGGGTTTTCTGCTTGAGCAGGAGATCGGATTGGAAGACTTGCAAGGCCCCTTCCAGTTTTGCTACTCAGTTTATTCTAACGTCATTTGGAGAGAACCATCACGGTAGCCGACGGCTGATAATATTGGGCCTTAAATTCTTCCCGCTTCTCCTCTGCAGGCCATGGAAATGCAGATCAAGAAGCAGTTCCAAGACACGTGCAAAGTGCAAACGAAGCAGTACAAAGCGCTCAAGAATCACCAGCTGGAAGTGACTCCAAAGAGTGAGCACAAAACTATTTTGAAAAGCCTGAAGGATGAGCAGACGAGGAAGCTGCCATCCTGGCGGAACAGTATGAGCAGAGCATCAATGAAATGATGGCGTCGCAAGCGGTAAGAAGGGGCGGGGTCAGGGGTGAAATCCAGCAGGTTCCGACAGGTTCTGGAGAACCGGTAGCGGAAATTTTGAGCAGTTCAGAGAACCGGCAAATGCCACCTCTGGCTGGCGCCAAAGTGGGGTGGGAATGGAGATCTTGCAATATCCTTCCCCCCCCCAGGAGTGGGGAGGGAATGGAGATTTTGCAGTAACCTTTCCCTGGAGTGGGGAGAGAATGGGGATTTTGCAGTATCCTCCCAGGAGTGGGGAGGGAATGGGGATTTTGTAGTATCCTTCCTCTGGAGTGGGGAGGGAATGGAGATTTTGCAGTATCCTTCCCCTGGAGTGGGGAGGGAATGGGGATTTTGCAGTAACCTTCCCCTGCCACGCCCACCAAGCCACGCCCACAGAACCAGTAGTAAAAAAAATTGGATTTCACCACTGGGTGGGATGGGTGGTCTACAGTCCCTGGGGAAGAAAGGCTCGTGAGGAAATGCCCCTTCCCGCCCTAAAAAACAAGTAAAATAAAAGCCATGTTGGAATTATTGAATTATTTTCATCCAGCCTTCATTAGAGTGTATAAATCGCTCAAGACAACAAACATATTTAACACGTTCTTCCTCTTTATTTAATTCATTTTAATTTTTATATTGCATGTATTTTAATCTTGGCTGTTCACCGCCCTGAGTCCTTCGGGAGAAGGGCGGTATACAAATTTAATAAACCTAAACCTAAACCTCTTTCTATTTTCCCCACCACAACGATCCTGTGAGGTGGGCTGGGCAGAAAGGACTGGCCCAAAGTCACTCAACTAGGTTTCATGGCTAAGGCGGGACTAGAACTCACCATCTCCTGGTGATTGGCCCAGAGTCACCCAGCTGGCTTTCATGCCTAAGGCGGGACTAAAATTTATAATCTCTTGGTGATTGGCCCAAAGTCACTCAGTCAGTTTTTGTGCCTAAGGTAGGACTATAACTCACTTTCTCCTGGTGATTGGCCCAAAGTCACTTAGACAACTTTTATGTCTAAGGCCAGGATTAGAACTCAATGTCTTCTGGTGATCGGCCCAAAGTCACCCCATCGGTTTTTATAACTTAAGACAGGATTAGAACTCAGATCCTCCTGGTGATTGGCCCAAAGTCACCCAGACAATTTTCATGCCTAAGGCAGGACAACATTTCACCTTCTCCTCCTGGCGATCGGTCCGAAGTCCCCCACCCAGTCGGCTTTGGTGCCTAAGGCGAGATTAGAACTCACCATCTCCTGTCTCGGCGCCTTAACCAAACTGGTTTTGCGTTTACAGAAGATCTTGGGAATTGAGTAGGACTATAAGGTGGCCCATCAGACCCAATTCCACGTCTTTTTAAACTGTCAAGGTGGAAACATCTGAAGACCTGAAAAGGCAGATATCTCTTTCTCTGGGCACACTGAGAATATATCTGCTGAACAAAACTCCGTACTGGCGACAAAAAGGGCATCTGGCCAGTAATCACTCAGCTCCATTCAATTGCCCCAGACTCCACCTGCATTACCCAGGATTCTTTAAAAGATGATGATGATTGGGAAGATGGCTAAGAGCGAGCAGGAGGAAGGACCTCTCTTAATCTCGAGCGGCCCTTGGTGTATAAATCGTCTCCTTTTCACTTTCCAGTTCTCCCAGTTAGAAGGGGGACATTACTGGCGTGAGAATAGGAAATTAGAAATCTGAAAATAGAAAGGAATTTGGGGAACGTATGAAAGAGCCACGAACATGACACAGTCCAAAGATTGAAGGATGAGTAGGATGATGATGATGATGATGTAGGTGTTAAGGAATTAAGGTGAAAAATCAGGTTTTACACTTAGGCAAGAAAAATCAAAGATTTACAGATTAGGTGGAAACTGGCTCAGTAGCAGGATTCTTGGGAGTCCTGGTGGACAATCACTTAAATATGAGCCAGCAGTGCGCTGCAGCAGCTGAGGGGTGCGGTGGCCTAGATGTGAACGCACAATCAGGTGGCTGTGAGTTCGATCCTAGGTAAAGGCAGATATTTCTCTCTCTGGGCACAATGAGAATATATCTGCTGAATATAACTCCTCATTGGCGACAGGGAGGGCATCCGGCCAGTAAAACACTCTGCTCCATTCAGTTGCCCCAGACTCCACCCCACCACAAGGGATTACGGGGTCATAAAAAAAAAAAAGGAGATGACCAATGAGCGCCACTTCCCTTGACTCTCTCGATTGCCTTTTTTTGCAGCTGCGGCTAGACGAGGCTCAGGAAGCGGAATGCCAAGCCTTGAGGCTGCAATTGCAGCAAGAGATGGAACTGCTCAACGCCTACCAGAGCAAAATCAAGATGCAGACAGAAGCACAGCACGAACGGGAGCTCCAGAAGTTGGAGCAGAGGGTGTCCTTGCGCAGAGCACATCTGGAGCAAAAGGTACGGGAGAGAGGATCCATTGAGTTTTGCAGCTAAGACTTAAGATTGTTGGACAAGCAGGGGCAAAAACAGCCGGGGAAGTGCTTGAAGCCCAGGAAACGGTTCCCTGGTCAATCAGCTGAAGGGCTGATTTACCACCAGCTTATCGGGGACCGTATTTTTCGGACTATAAGACGAACCTAAATTTAGAAGAGGAAAACAACAACAACGAAAAGTTTTTGGCTTACCTTTTTTTGGGCCTTTTCCAGTCTTTTTTTGGCCTGTTTCTGGGGCTTTTTTTGGCCCATTTTTGAGGCTTTTTTTTTTTTTGGCCAGCTTTGGGGGCTTTTTTCAGCCCATTTTCAAGGCTTTTTGTGGCCCATTTTGGGGGCTTTTTGGGCCCCCTTTTTGCGGCTTTTTTGGGCCCATTTTCGAGGCTTTTTTGGGGACGTTTTTGAGACTTTTTTGGCCCATTTTCAAGGCTTTTTTTTGGTCTGTTTCCAAGGCTTTTTTGGGCCCTTTTGGGGGCCCATTTTTGAGGCTTTTTGCGGCCCATTTTTGGGGCTTTTTGCGGCCCCTTTTTGCGGCTTTTTTCAGCCCATTTTCGAGGCTTTTTTGGGGACGTTTTTGAGACTTTTTTGGCCCGTTTTCAAGGCTTTTTTTGGTTTGTTTCCAAGGCTTTTTTGGGCCGTTTTTGGGGCTTTTGGGGGCCATTTTCGAGGCTTTTGGGGGCCGTTTTTGAGGCTTTTTTGGCCCAGTTTCAAGGCTTTTTTGGTCTGTTTCCAAGGCTTTTTTGGGCTGTTTTGAGGGCTTTGGGGGGCCATTTTTGAGGCTTTTTCAGCCCATTTTTGAGGCCTTTTTTGGCCCATTTTGGGGCTTTTGGGGGCCATTTTCAAGGCCGTTTTGGACGCTTTTTTGGCCCTAAAAGAGCCTTGAAAACAGGCCAAAGAGCCTCGAAAAGGGGCTGAAAAAAACCCAAAAAAAAAGGGCCGAGAAAAGGCCTGAAAACAGGAATGTGGAGGCCAAAAAAAAATGGCTGGCAGGTGGGCGGGGCTTCGGCAATATTTGGTTTATAAGATGCACAGACATTTTCACCCGCTTTTGGGAGACAAAAAAGTGCGTCTTACAGTCTGAAAAATACAGCTCTTAGGAGGTGATGGGTGGGCAGCACAAGGAAAACAACAGCCAACGACCCTAACCCCCCCCTCCTCCTTCACAAACCTCCCTCCTTTGTAGCACTGATGATGTTACCTAGTTTGGTAATGAAATGTCTGTAAGAAATCAACCAAGCTCAGAGAGCACCAACTACCCCACAGTCGTCGTTCTCCTCCTCCTCCTCCCAAACTCCACTCCCTTCTAGCATTACCTAGTTACCTAGTTACCTAGTTAGGGTCATGAAACGCCTGCAAGAAAGTAACCGAGCTCAGGGAGCCCCCCCAAGGACCCCTCCTTTCAACCCTGAGAATATACCCATATTCTTCTTCGTTGCAACGGCTGGTCCTTCTCTTCCATTCAGCTCTCTCACAGTCCCAGGAACCTAAAATTGGGGTGCAGTCGGGGGCGTGTGTCTGTATGTATGTGGAGAAGGCATCATCTCCCCATCATCTCACATTCTCTTTTCTCCTCTTCTCCCCTGCCCCCCCCCCCCCTTCTCCCCCCCCCCCCCCCACTTTCAGATTGAAGAGGAGTTGGCTGCCTTGCAGAAGGAACGTAGCGAGAAGATCAAGGTTTTGTTGGAAAGGCAAGAGCGAGAGATTGAAACTTTTGACATGGAGAGTTTACGGATGGGCTTCGGAAACTTGGTGACATTAGAATTTCCTAAGGAGGACTACAGATGAGATTAAATTCCTTTGGCCATTTTCCAAAAAAACAAAAAAAACAACAACAACCCCACAAAAACAAAAAAACCCACACGAGCAAAAATACAAACCAAGGAGGGGAAAAGAAAGAAAAAAAATAAATATCTCAAACCAACATGGCCCCCGTTCCCCACTCCGTCCCCCCAAGTTCATGGCCGTGCTCGCTCTCTCTTTCTGTCTCTTAACTGACGTCCTGTCGGACTTAGTGCCTGTAAAAAAAAATTTTTTTAATCCATCAGGGCCTCCCACCTTCCCACCGAGTGTCTCGTTGGAGCCTGGACCATGCTTGGCTGTTTCTGGAAACTTCATAATGTCTCACAATATCGATGTCTCTGTGGAAGCCATTTTGGTTTTCTTTTCTTTTTCTTTTTTTTTCTTCTTTTTCTTTTTTTTTTTTATATTTTTTTTCCGATTTACCTTTTCGGTGCAAACTTTGGAGACCGTTCCAATGAATCCAACCAACCAACCGATCAACGCCAACCACAAAAAAAACAACAACAAGGAAATTCAAGTTTTTTGGCTTTCGGGCAATCATTCCTGGATGGCCACCAACCCATGAGGGAAAAAAAAAAACCACACACAAACCAACAAAAATTCAGAAGGAACCTGGAAAAACAAAAAGAAAGAAAACCACACAAAAACCCTCCGAATAAATAGCATCTCTCTTCTTCTTCTTTTTTTTTAATTTATTTATTTCTGGAAAAAAACAAATTTTAAAAAGAAACAAAACAGAAGCGTTCAGCGTTTTTCCCCCCCTACCCCTCGCCAGAGAAGGGGAGAGGAAAAAAATAAATAAATAAAAATAACGTC